TAAAATAAATAGAAATTGGTAGAGCTAAAACTTAAGCAGAGAGATAATTATACACAGCCACTTTAAAGTTATACTTGGTGAAGTCATACTTATGATATTTGATGGTAAACTATTCCATTCATCAATTGTTCTAGGCCAAAAAACTGTATTTATACTCATCACATGATGTTTCTAGCAAAATAAACTTCATTGGATCAAAGCTTCTAGTTTTCATTACAGTTTTATGTTTCACATAAGGTGGTATATTGATCACTGATTAGCCATGTAGTGTATTGTACATTAAAGTTAGTCTGTTCGCTTTCCTTCTGTGCTCGAACTTAACTGTTGGCCAAGTAAGATGGTTTAATGCTTGGGTAACACAGCCTTCCTGTCTTGAATATTTTTTAGTAGCAAAACTTGCAGCACGTCGCTGTACTTGTTTGAGCCAGTTATTTTGGTACACCCTGTAAGGATACCATGCAGTACTTCCATATTCTAAAATAGGTCTTAATGCTTGAGCCTTAACTCCTAGGTCTTACCAAAGAGGACATAAATTAGAGGCTAAGTTGTCGCTAGCTGTTTATCAAAGTTACTTTCGACTCATTATACATCACACCTGTGGTGTGGTCAACATCATACTGTTGATTTTTAAGGAACCCTTCATATCCCTCTATCCCACCCCCCCCTGCCATCCCTCTTCAAAAGCACAATCAGTGGGGACCCCATGATATCATATTTGACAATGGTGTTAGGTAAAGTGGCAGAGGTCAGTGGTTCGAATCCCGTACAGGCCTGAAATTTTTTTCAGGTCTGATTTTCACTATTGCTCAAATAGTGCTTTACTGCGAAGGATCGTTCTCATATACATTACAGTAATGTTGCACAGAAATTGGTGAGGACTAGACCTGTCCATATTAATTTTTTTAACTTTATGTAGAATTGACATAATTGATAATTTATTTACCATGATTTTAATTTTTTAAAAATCTTGAAGAAGGGACAGTAAGACCCAATGTAGCATAATTAAGAAAACATTTTTTGATGATACCAACAAGTTTACATCAAGATTTGTATCGTCCTTTTCATAATTCTGGGCATGTATTTGGCATAATTTGTTTTCTTTTGCATATGCATCTAGTTAGTACCTACCAGTGTCTAACTCACTGGCTACCAGTTATAAGTGTGTATGAATCATTCTTTCCATTTTTTTTTCACTTCTTTCATTTCTTCCATTTCTTTCATTTCTTCCTTTTTTTTCCATTTCTTCCATTTCTTCCATTTCTTCCATTTCTTTCATGAAGATAAGATTACCCCTAATGCATAGGAAAAGAGAGCAATTTCCTGACTTTCTGATCAAAAGGTGTGGGAATGGCTGATTCTCCCACATTGGTCTTAGAAGTATAGATGGACAAACTTTTCAAGGAAACCTAGAAATATGCTCTTAGCAGGAAGGGTAGCATCAACTCCTATTTTCCTGAAGCCATTATAGATAAACAAACTATGCAAGGAAATCTGTTAAAATGCTCCGCACAAGAAAGGTAGAAACAACCTTATTTCTTGTCTGCCACTGTAGACATACATTTTTAACTATGGACTGTGGAGTTCCAATTCTAACAATACATGGTCAACCACTTTCTAAAATGTTTTTTGTTAATTGAAGGTTGAAAACAAATATCATTTTTAATTTGTTTCCATAGAGCCCCAACATTTACTCTTCAGCCATTATACAACAGAATCAAGTCATCTTTGGGTGATGAAACAAAGCCCTGTTTGCTTCTGATTGATGATCTAACAGCTCTTCTCTCTATTGGAGTTCATCTTCAGCAAATCACCAATTTCATACACTACTGTGCTGTTCTGATGTGTCACTC